AGCATCCCATATTTTTTACAGACCAACCGGCACTAGGTGGGTAATGTGGTCAGCATTACGCCGGCCGTCTTTAGTTTCCCAGGACAGCCATCCTGGTACCCATACCATGATTAAAATCCACGCAGCCAGCAGTGGGTTTCGATTGTGGTACGTTGGAATAACAAGTCGGACTCGCAACACCTAAGCCTTGGACGCCGCTAAATCCTCAATAACAGATGTCAGAGAGATTATAGACATATGACTGTCAGTGTTGGCTCCAGATCAGGTTATAGATAAAAAAGGAGGATCATATTATCTACAAATGCAATGCTCTTCCGCAAAAGTCCTATGTTCACTTAGAGGGTACTATTTTCTTTATGGACACAGAAACTGAAAGACAGCACACAGAAATATATGACTGTGTGCATGTAACACCCCCATCTTTTTGGCCTGCTACCTGAAAGTCTGACACCCTGAGACTACACAATCCCAGTCTGAACGGCATACCTCTGATACCCTTAGACTACAGAATCTCTGTCTGAATGGCACACCTCTGATACCCTGAGACTACAAAATCTATGTCTGAATGGCATACCTCTGATACCCTGAGACTACAAAAATCAGTCTGAATGGCACATCTCTGATACCCTGAGACTACAAAAATCAGCCTGAATGGCACACCTTTGATACTCTGAGACTACAAAAATCAGCCTGAATGGCACACCTCTGATACCACAAAAATCAGTCTGAATGGCACACCTCTGATACCCTGAGACTACAAAAATCAGTCTGAATGGCACACCTCTGATACCCTGAGACTACAAAAATCAGTCTGAATGGCACACCTCTGATACCCTGAGACTACAAAAATCAGCCTGAATGGCACACCTCTGATACCCTGAGACTACAAAAATCAGCCTGAATGGCACACCTCTGATACCCTGAGACTACAAAAATCAGCCTGAATGGCACACCTCTGATACCCTGAGACTACAAAAATCAGTCTGAATGGCACACCTCTGATACCCTGAGACTACAAAAATCAACCTGAATGGCACACCTCTGATACCCTGAGACTACAAAATCTCAGTCTGAACAGTACAACTCTGATACCCTGTTCTACCTCTTAAAAAGACATAATTAGGGCACCCAGCCCGGTCTATAAACCCCCCCCCCCCCCCCCCCAGTCATGTGTGGGTCAAGGTATAATGTCAATGAGAACATAGACATTCAGGAAGAAACAGATCCAACTTGTAGCAGGTAGTCAAGACAAGCAAAGAAAAACAGCCAGCAGACAGGATTCCAGACAAGTTGCCATGACAGCGTGCATGCAAGGTGCTAGCTGGAGACACATGCAAACAGCAAGACACAGTAACAAATTACAGATACATATCGTATTTTCCTCCAGGTATTAAAAAAATGTCCACGTTCTTCAAGTTTAAAAGTGGTGGAAACATTATACACTGAATGTTGCAGTGAAACATTAAAAAATACACACTGCTATATATCCCCCCCCCCCACAAACTAGTGGCCTCAAGACAAAGCACAAGCCTACCGGCCAAGAGTACTAACTGAGCTGACTCTCTATACCTTTGTGTACACTAGTCTTTGCTGGCCCCAAGGTTTGTCAGATACTGCATGTCAGAATCCCCCCCCCCCCCCCCCCCCCCCCCCCCCCCCCCCCCCCCCCCCCCCCCCCTCCCCCCCCCCCCCCCGTTCCATATTACCTACAGTAATTAATGTGCTAAATATATCGGTAAAATGGTTCTGTTTATTGTTTTAATATCTAATGAAATGTCAAAGTTGTTCTTTGATGTTATGAATATTTATTTTTCAATTGTAGGCTTTAAAAAATACAAGCGATCATCTGATGCCTGGGAATATACTGTTAAGTTCCAGGGACAGAAATTAGAAAATGAATAAAGCAAAGGACATCAAGGTAGATTTTTAAAAAAAAAGAGATCCCTTTTCACACCTTTTAGGCGCATCGGGCACCCATATTTTTACAGACCAATCGGCACTAGGCTGGTAATGTGGTCAGCATTATGCCGGCTGTATCTACTTCACCAGGACATACATCCTGGTACCCATTTTAGACTGGCTCGACCTGCAACACACCATACCGAAAAATCCACACAGCCATCAGTGGATTTTGACTGGGGTAGGTTGGAATTATGAATAGGACTCACAACACCTAAGCCACGGACATAGCATCAAGGCATATACAGGCAAGCAAATACGCAATCCATGGCCTAACAACTGTACAGAGAAAGATTCCACAGCAGGAGAGGTGACTATGTGTCCGATGCATCACTAGCAATAGGACCTATTATCTACAACTGAGAGCAAAAGGTAGGCATCGATACAGGTGGGAGTACAGAATCAAGAGATGGACGAACAGCACTCTACAACCAAGAGATAAAGTGCCTGGGAGATCCACGGCCGCCAACCATCAATGTGGAGACGGCATTTGTTTGATTACTTACAATCTCCTAAAGGGGCACTACTGAATAAATTCATAAAGATCAAAACTGAGGGTTGTCTACTCCTGCCGCCCTTTAAAAAAAGCCAGCATTTGCAATCTCTAATAAGTGGACTCACTGCCTCCCCCCCCCCCCCCCCCCCCCCCCATCTCCAGACGGCACCTTTTTTTTATCTTCCTGCTTCACAGAATTGTCTCCATCACTATCATCAGTCTCACCATGCTGTGCCACATAGGGCTGGCTAGCAGTATATTCTCCCATTCTGTTTTATCCTGCACAATCGCTTCAATATCATGAATGGAATCCACGGCCACACCTTTGATCTCTCTAATCAACATTCGTTTGAGGGTTTGTTTTGCCCTCGGTTACTCAATCCCATTACTTCTCATCTGAATGCTTGTTCAGTCTCTTAGCTCGTTTGTTCTCAGGAAGTGTCTATTATAACACCATCTTTTGGTCTTGTAACTTTAATTACCAATCATTGCTCAGACATTTATCTTAATACTTCACTACTCTTGAATTCATCCAATTTTATGTTAAAAAACGGGGATCGTCACGGGCCAGAAAGATCACAAATACAATACAACTCGCTATGATCCACGGGCCACTTGCTAGTCTTCCGCGGGCAGCCAATTGAGTAGCCCTGAACTACTTTAGTTACACGTTAATTAATGTTATACCAATGGACCTCAAGGGCAGTAACACAAACCGCCAGGAGGGAAAAACAAAAGCATTACAGGGCAAGACCGTCCACAAAGACTCCTCAGGAAAAAGACAAAGACCACAATTATAACCAAGGCCTCACATAAGCAGGTTATGTGGCCACACATTTTTTCTTGAGAATCAAAACGAATTATGAGATTTACTTTAATTATTTACAAGCTACTTTTAATGACAAAAATAAAACTCACTACCAGACAGAAAAAACGTAATTTTACATAAATTACTTATGCTACCAATTAGGAGTCAGCTCATTCACCTTAGGGGTTGTGAATGCAGTGTCACAATTCTCCTTCCTCATTCAAACTTAAAGGGGTGGTTGAAGTGTGTGTTGTGGTTTACAGATAGGCTGCAACATCTGCACCTTTTGGCCCAACACTTTAGACAGTATGATTACCAAGAGAAGATGGAAATGGCTTGGCCACGTTATGAGAATGACTTCTGATATACCTGCCAAAACAGCTCTCACATGGACACCAGAGGGAAAGAGAAAACAGGGGCGCCCAAAAACAAAATGCACACGAACGATGGAAAGTGACCTGAGTGCGGCATCTCTGACATGGAAAACTGCATTGAAGATTGCACAGGACATGAAAGCATGGAAAGTCCTCTCTGAAGCCTCATGTGCCACTAGGCATAACGAGAACTGATGATGACGATGTGTTACAAAATGGCAAAATCACCGACAGCTGTGTTACCAAATGGCAAAATCACTGACAGCTGTGTTACCAAATGGCAAAATCACTGACAGCTGTGTTACCAAATGGCAAAATCACCGACAGCTGTGTTACCAAATGGCAAAATCACTGACAGCTGTGTTACCAAATGGCAAAATCACTGACAGCTGTGTTACCAAATGGCAAAATCACCGACAGCTGTGTTACAAAATGGCAAAATCACCGACAGCTGTGTTACCAAATGGCAAAATCACTGACAGCTGTGTTACCAAATGGCAAAATCACCGACAGCTGTGTTACCAAATGGCAAAATCACTGACAGCTGTGTTACCAAATGGCAAAATCACCGACAGCTGTGTTACCAAATGGCAAAATCACTGACAGCTGTGTTACCAATGCACTAGGAGAGGGATACATGGACGAGAAATTATGATTTAAGGAACGATTTATCGCTTGACATGAGAGGTTGGGACGACGGTTCTAATGGAAATGAAGTCGCAAGAAATTCAGGATTTGGAGAGTTATGACAATGTTGCAGAAGAAAATAACATGACTGTATTTAAATGAATGCAGAATTCTGCACAGGAGTAAATGTAGATTTTTGTATCTTAGTAATATTAATGTCGGCTCTGTTGCTAAGTTGATGCGAACACTTCATAATGCCGGCTTCGATCCCAGCTGCGGGCCATGCGCCTTGCGCTGGTTTCGACAGTGGTATCAAGAAAGCTGACCATCCAGAAAGCAATGGCAAACTACTGGACGTAAATTTGCCTAGAAAAACCACACAATAGCCAGAGGCTGTTGGGGTTGGTTCAGCAACGTCCCGTAAAGGTTACGCAACTAACCTAGTAATATTAATAATAATAATAAAAAGACACACCTGGCAATATGGCATTTTTCAACTTAAACATTTATATAAGACATGGTCTTAATTTCGGGAAAACAAGGAAGCACAACAAAAGCTAATAATTTGCCAGTGTTGGTTCAGGACATTTTGAAGACGGTAAGTAACTATCTTTTTACCAGGAAAGTAATTGCCGAAAATAAATTACCTTTACTAAAAGACACAACTGTCGCAGAAATAACTTTTTTACCTCCTGACAGAAGAGTTAGTGAAACACATAAATTCCAATGTACTTACAAAATCCACATCGTGCCTGATTTGATACCGATCCACTTGAAGTGTTGTGCTCTCCTCATCCTCGGCAAAACTAAATTCATTCCTTCCAACAATCTGAGTGTAATCCCTGTAACAGACGCAACCAAACCAGTTAATAACAACAAGGTTGTTATTCAACAACATCAACACAGCTGATGGAGGTGGGGTGATAAACTATCATAAGGTGTGGTGATTAACATAACATACACAATCGTGGTCACCATCTGGCATCATCACCAGTCTCCGTCATTATTTTCTAGGCCAGTCATTCCCATTTGGTGGACCATGCAAAGAAGCTAAGGGGTCAGTACAAACAAAACATTAACTTTAAAACGCAATCTTTTTTTTTTTTGCGACTTTAACACTGATAAATGATACTAAGTTTTTTGGTGTGACCATTAAAATGTAAGGGGTCGTTGGTGTATTTTCAAAAATAGGAGAGGTCCCTATTCATAAATTCCTGTCTGCAGTTTATGATCAGTTTCAAACAGGCAGTTCATCATCAGTTTCAAACCGGCAGTTCATCATCAGTTTCAAACCGGCAGTTCATCATCAGTTTCAAACCGGCAGTTCATCATCAGTTTCAAACCGGCAGTTCATCATCAGTTTTAAACCGGCAGTTCATCATCAGTTTTAAACCGGCAGTTCATCATCAGTTTCAAACCGGCAGTTCATCATCAGTTTCAAACTGGCAGTTCATCATCAGTTTCAAACAGGCAGTTCATCATCAGTTTTAAACCGGCAGTTCATCATCAGTTTTAAACCGGCAGTTCATCATCAGTTTCAAACAGGCAGTTCATCATCAGTTTCAAACCGGCAGTTCATCATCAGTTTCAAACCGGCAGTTCATCATCAGTTTCAAACAGGCAGTTCATCATCAGTTTCAAACCGGCAGTTCATCATCAGTTTCAAACCGGCAGTTCATCATCAGTTTCAAACAGGCAGTTCATCATCAGTTTCAAACAGGCAGTTCTTTATCAGTTTCAAACAGGCAGTTCATCATCAGTTTCAAACCGGCAGTTCATTATCAGTTTCAAACCGTCAGTTCATCATCAGTTTCAAACCGGCAGTTCATCATCAGTTTCAAACCGGCAGTTCATCATCAGTTTCAAACCGGCAGTTCATCATCAGTTTCAAACCGGCAGTTCATCATCAGTTTCAAACCGGCAGTTCATCATCAGTTTTAAGCCGCTGGCATCCCAGCCACTTCTTTAAGTGCATAAAAAGGTAGTAATCACTTGGCGCCAGATCGGGGCTGTAGGGTTGATGGTCAACAATTTCCCAGTAACATTTCTACATCTGAACAGCTCCATCTGCGACGTGAGGTCAAGTATTATCATATGAATTTCTGCAGCAGTTGTTTTTTTTTTTTTTCTAACAAGAAACGGATCACAGCATCACTCTCGCTGCTGGCTGAAGTATATTTTTTTTTGCACTCATAAATCACTCACATGCAACACCAAACAAGATTTCAACAGTGAAAAAATAGCACCAACTAGCTAATGAACCACATAAACATACTGCATATGCAGATTTAAGTTTTCCCATCGGTGTTTGTCGGTGTGGTCAAAACTGTACTTAGTTTAAACAAATGCACCTCAGATATCTGTCTCACCTTTCCCTCGAGTGTTGAGCATTGGCCAGATCCCATGGTAACTCCTCGCAGAACCATTCTGCTCAAGCCTTAATGATCTAATTGTGCCCTCGCATTGTTCTCTCGCTCCGAAAGGGCCCTTACAACATCTTGCTTGTTATACATCAATTCACCATCAAGTGGTGCAGAACTCGTTTGTCTGCTCAATTACCAACAAACTGGCATGACGAAGAGAGAATATCTAAAGGATGCTAACTACTCCAGAGCTCTGAAGTGATGCTGAACACTCTACACAAAACATGCCTGTCTCCACCTTTCTTAACATGCTCTGTGAGTCAATTACAATCACGGCATGTGAGTACAGCTGATTCTCAAGCCAGCGGAAGGCAGCAGTGACTGCCTCCACCTCCATTCTCAAATCAGACGTCGCCAAGCTTTGTTGCACTAAGCGACGTCCATTGGCCTTTGCAATAAATCCCCATGCACTTCTCTGCCCCTCAACACAGAGCCATGTGCATAGACAATCACATCACCTGGGCGGGAATTGTCATGAATCATTTGTTGAGCTTCTGATATTAGCAATCAACTGGCCAGTCCCTGTGCTCACCAAGTGATAAGAACCCTTCACAAATCTGCAACTTGCTTGGACACTTTGACCTACTCCTCTCCTCACCTAAATTTATCAAGCTTGCACACATGTCCAATTGTGTCTTCAGCTTGTGCCATCCAAGACTTTCCTCTTTTTAATCTGTGACCCTTAGCTCTACCCAGGGCTTCATGCAGGAGGTGCCTCTTGTCCGCAGCTTCTCTGAGATATAACTTTGCAAGTATATACAGACATACTACTGGGGTGTGCCTTGTACATCTCAGAATTACGTGCATGGCTTTATACTGTACGCAGCAACATCAACAGTAAAATCACCAAAACAAGCAAGCAATGCCAAAGTTGGTCTCATCCACTCGTACAGAACATGCTGACTTACCCTGGCTCTTTCAGAAACTGCCAAAGCTGGTTGAACGTTTCCTGCGACATGGGTGCACTTAGACTTGAGCTTGAGGCAGACAACTGGGACATTCCAAGAGGAATGCTCACCTTTCCATAACTAGGTAAGAGAAGAAAAGTTCATGTTGACTTCTTAATTACTCGCTACAACAATGAAAGTCAATAAGTAAGTCCACAAATGTTGTTTGGCTCTCCTTTAAATAACGGTCGCTAGCTGGAAAGCGGACAGTCGCTTAGTCGGAGTGCGCTTCCTTAGCTGCATTGCAAATACGGAGTGGACAAGTCACGAATCAAAAACAAGGTCAACATGGCAGTTAGACATCGAGCTCCGACTCACATTAGCAACCACGTTCTTGCGACGCACGACTTAGTTGCCATGGATGTGACTCCTGCAGATCTGTATGCCTTAATGACCGATAAGTTTGCGTGGTTAGGGGTAGGGTTAGGGTTATGATTAGGGTTAGATGTGAAAATTTTGACGCAGGAGTTCCAAATAATCGCGCAGTGACATACACACCCAAACAATTGGAGGACTGTGGATGCTACTCAAACAGACAATTCGCCATCAATTGGGCACCAGCCGCGCGCTATTGCCGTCATATAACCCTAACCTACACCCTACGCAACCGTATGATGACAGGTAAGTATGTCATCTGTTTCGTTTCCTCTTTACGCTCCGTATTTGCAATGCAGCCAAGGGAGCGCACTCTGACTAAGCGACCGTCGGCTTTCCAGCTAGTGACCGCTATTTAAAGGAGAGCCGGTTGTTTAAACAAATTACAGACAATAACAACTTGAAAACTTTTTTTTAACAGATACTCCCCTGTGTGGGTTCCGGGACCCTATTATAGGGAAAGCAAGAATAGACCCACTGCCTACCCAAAAGCATGTCGTAAGAGTCGACTAATTGGGAGCTTCCTTCAAAGTCGGAGTGCATCTGCCTGAGAGGCAAGGAACCAGCAGTCCGCAAAGGGATGAACAACCAGAACTTTCCGCTAGAGTTTACAGCTGGTGAACGCGAAGAAGAAGAACAGATACAGTGCCCTTTATTTTTCAACATTATTATTACTACCGACAATGATGCACTTGTCCTTCTATTTTATCAGCCCCAAACCTGCTGCCCAGAACTGTGTGCTCTGTTTTCTAAACCATATGTTCACTTCACATTCATCTTCTGCACCATTCACAAAATGTATCCTGCCAAGTTGGGTTTTCAGTGGACCAAAAAGTGGGAACTGCTATGGGCTAAGTTGGGTTTTCAGTGGACCAAAAAGTGGGAACTGCTATGGGCCAAGTTGGGTTTTCAGTGGACCAAAAAGTGGGAACTGCTATGGGCTAAGTTGGGGCAGTAAGGTGGATGTTCCAGAATTTCCTATCCTTGACAGTTAATTTTCTCCTGAGTTAACCGAGCCGTATGTGGTTGGCATTGTCATGAGAGAACAGTATTCCTTTAGTCAGCAGGCCTGGAAGTTTTATTTGAACTCCATCATGAAGCATTGATAGAACTTTACAGTATGAATTAGCATTCACATTGTCAGCAATTTTTTTTTAAAGGGTTAAAAGCACATCTTGACAATCACAGAACACTGTCAGCACAGCCTTCCCTGCTGATGGCGCAACCTTGAATTTGTTAACACTAGACGTAGAAGGATGTTTCCGCTGCACTGAAGCAAGCTCTGATTCGGGCTGGTAGTGATGCACCCATGAATCGTCCCCAAGAATAATCTTGTTCAGTATGTCTTCTCCTTTCCTCTGCGTATCGACAGAGTTGCTGCAAGGACAGGCCTAATCGGTTCATTCTGTATTCATCCGTCATTGTCTGGGTACCCACCTTGAGCATACTTTTGAATATTTCTATGGTTCATGTATTAAGTTGTCTGCTAAACAATGTGAGCACATTATCGTAGCTGCTGTGTTATTTATTTAGTTATATTACTGACGCTGTAAGTGCCAATATAATGGAGGATAATTTAAAACTACAGCAAAATGAAACAATGTCAGTAGCATTATCCAATCATGAACAACACTTGTGGCCCAAAAGCTGTCGTCCTATTCAGGTTAAAAACAGCTGGTCAGTATATTACTGACATCACGAACTGTGGTCAAATTTTTTTCAAGTATGTGGCCTCCTTCTTTAGGCTGTTACTTCAGTTTGACCAACCTAAGATTGCAAAAATCTCTTTTGGATAACAAGCCAGCAGGGCAAACCCCAATTCAATCTCCCAAAAAATTATAACTGGAGTACCTAAATGGCCACCAGCCTGGTATTCTGTGTGGACAATGATCTATTATCTTTATCTACTTTCACAGTGTCTGCCCCTAATAGGACGGACAGCATGTCATGTTGTTGTTCACAGCCAGGTTGTGATATCTGCACTTTTTAGCCCAACACATCTGGTTAAAGAAAAAATCCTCATATCACCAGTTAGGAAATGCTTGTTAGAAGGCAGTGGGTTGATCCCCCCCCCCCCCCTATGCAAATCTATTATCTAATATTGATATTGGTCTTTTTTTTTTTTTGTTATAGAGATCCCTGAAATCGTCATTAGAGATACAGAGTTTGTGCTTCGAGATATGACATAAAACCCAGTGCAGTAAAGTGAATCCACTCTGACTTTACCTCCGACAGTGTGGAAAAGCGTCCTTTACTTTACATAGTAGTACTATTAGCGAGAATTAGTGTGTGTATATATACATATATATGTGTGTGCATATATATATATACATATATATATATATACTATGAAATGCTTGTTAGAGGGTGTATATTTTATATATATATATGTATATGCAGTTGTAAGCTTGAGACAATCTGCATTTATTATGTTCTATCTAACTCACGAGTATGAAAACTGAAATATCTAACAATTAAAACCGTGCACTTCTTCACTTCATTCGTTACGGTTACAATCGAAACCAAATCTTAATTCAAATCTGATTGATCCCTTCAGGGGACGAGCAGGAGGGATCGGAAACGTTGCACCACACCCACTCCATATAGCTTCTTCAAATATAAGCTTTAGTTAGCTGCATGTGCAAGTATAGGCTATAGCCGTAGTTGCACATTTCAGTTTCATAAATTTAGTATAAAGTAGACTAGAATCTCACTACCTTCCTCAATTTTACGCAAATCGGAAATATCCCTGCTACGGCTAACAAACAATACTATTGATAATAGAACTGAGTGACAGTCGACAAGCCGTTGTGACTGTAGGAAGGCAAAGCGTGGAACTAAATCCTGCACGATTACCTCAAAATGTTCCCTTAAACGGGCGTATCATGTAACAAGCACAGCAGTGACAGAGAAAGCAAGTATCCACAACAATCCGACATACGCGATGTGAGCTGGAGCAAGTGTGTGGTCAGCGGATATTAGACACACATTGGGAACAATCAAAACAAAGACTACACAGACATCTTGTCGGCCTGGACACAGCAGCAGACACAGCACACAGCATGGGGACAGGGGGCTGCCGGGTAGCCGCGCGATTCATCCGCGCGTTCTCGCCATGAAATAACCTACAACGTCTTCTTTCACTCAAAAAATTATTTATTAAACATACAGTTACCATGTATACACTTGTATAGTTCAGATAAAATAATATTATAAACCCTTAATGATATTTTAACTTGCACTAATTTATTGTCGTGTATTCGTTTTTATTTCACAGCGTTACCAGGGGTTTGGTTTGCGCGGGAAAATCTAGGCAGAAAATAAATATATTTTTAATCGCTGATAAATTCTAAGTTATGTTATTTTTAACCTTAATTTAACTAAAGTTACAAGGGAAGTTTTGAGAAAACGCGTATGAAGACTTCATGTCTTGTGTCTTGTATTCAAATGAAGCACTTAATTGCGGAATGCTTAACGGCAAGCGGCGACATACTTAGCACAACCTGGGGGATGTATAAGAGGGTCTTGGTTGGTTTAGCTGTTATATGGCTTAACTGGGTGTGCGCCTGTCGCGTCGCTGCTTAAACAATCAACCGTTTGTGTTTCCTGTTAAAATTCGAGTGCCTAGAAACGGGAACCTCCTAAGCCATCAAGTAAATGAGATTCTTTGTTGGCCAGTTTAAACTTTATTTTATAATCTCCATGTTAAGTAGAGAAGTTAGGAAGCGTTTTGAAATAGCAGCTGGTAGATTTAAAAAAAAATTTTTAACCCTAAATTCTCAAAGAGAATATCATGTGCCAAACTCTAAGCTTTATGTCCTGTAGTTCTTCAAGGTTTTCTACGCAACCCACCCACACTGGACTACATGTTGATTTGTTACAGTTTTTAGTGCCCCGAATTAACTGTGCTATATGGCTATTCAAAAACAATAGCATAAGTTATGGTACCAGGAAGCAAGGGCAGGGACCGTCTAACAGGAAGATGGGCACGTGATATAAGTGACTCCGTTTGGAATTTTTATTGAACAACTGGAATTGGAATCAAAAGCCACAAGGCTACAGAGTTGGCGAGAGGCCGAGGTTATTTCAGGCGGACCGTGATGAGAGCGACGTCAGTCTGAAAGTGGTCGATCTTTTGATTTATTTGTTAAAAGGAATCGGAGAGCGACGTTCTACATGATTATGATGATTATATAGCTGTACGGTTGAACGGAAGTTTCCTGGATTAGTAGCTGTCACTCATCCTCAAGGTGTTTACCTTAGACAGTTGTCTTGCAGAATGCAAATCAGGAGATAGGAAACTTTTGAAAAAAGGGGTTTCTTTTTGTAGTGTCAATCTCATTTGCTTTAACACTGTTGATTTTTTAACGTTATTTTCACGCCATCAGCCGCACCATCACCGAGTAATATTTAGCCTAGCGGTTTGTGGTGGGACTCAAGGTATCTAAGCTAGAGCTGTCTTCTCGCACGGGCCCGTTAGTCGACAGATTATCCTCATTGCACATAACCACTTAATCCTTAAATTCTCGGATCCCTTCCGGAGTAAATCCCGCAGTGTGTAGCGGCTGACGACAGCCGTTCTGTGCTGATTTCTTATTCTTCTATGGCTTCTTGCACAGTGCTCTTGTCTGGCAACACCCTTTTAACACGCTGTTTTTGCAGCCTGGTCATGGTGTCAGATTTAGTCATCAATTGGTTCTCACACACGTTTTATGTCTCGAAGAGCATTCACTGATCTGGTCTGATTTGATTCAAGAACCAACATCACAGCATTTAGGGCATTCCCACAAGCGATCCGTCCCCATTTTCATCAGCCACCGCAGAGTTCCAATACTAATGGTGCCAGTAGCATTTTGATTAAACATCCGTCTCTCCTTACCTCTGAGCCTCGAGCATTGACCAGAACCTCTCGTAACTCCTTGCTGCATCAGTCTCACCAAACTGTGGTGATCCATCTGCTCCTCCGAACTATACATGCTCCCCAACCACATATCAATATTCTACTAAGTTGTGCAGAGCCAGCCAGTCTGTCCGCCTGTTTATTTCCCAATATACCGGCGTTATCCAGAAGAAAAAAAATACAAACAATACTCCTCGCCCGTTTCCTCAGCTGTGAAGCATGACACTCCACGAAGCATGCCTGTCCTGACCTACCTCAGCATGCTTTTTGAATCAGTTACAATCAAGATATGTGTATGTGTGGCTCCTGTTCTCTAGCCAGCGGAAAGCTGCAGTGACCTCCTCCACCTCCATTCTTAAGTTGGATGTTGTGGTATCATATGCTAGGTTCTCCTGCACCAAACGTCGACCATCAATCTTTGCTAAGAAACCCTAAGAACTTCTTAGAGTTTCACTGTGTTAGCCTGAGCCACGGCTCGTTGGCCCTCTAGCTTTACCTACAAGTCTATCAGCTTGCTTATTTCCTTGACTATCTGCATGTCCTGGCACGAATTTGAAACTTATATTTGTCTGCCCCGAGTGCTTCAGAGACTTCCCTGTAAGCTTTATCGCAGTTCAGGATATTTTATGAATCAGGGATAGAGAATCATGCAAAGAACAAAGACGGCATAGTGGATTGTGAGATAGATGGAGATTGTAGGATGTGGAGAATCACCCCTGCCAGTCGGCAAGGCATGTGGCGATGATGACAACGATAATGATCACGATGTTTATAATTATGGTGACAGTTAAGTGCTAACTTTGATACTGACGATCACGTGTGGTAATCCTATGTTCGATTCTCCTCAGAATGTGTCCAGTATAGCACCGCGGTCTCTGTCGTATAACCGTTGATACTATAATTGTTGACAGCCAGTTACTTTTTTAAACTGCATTGCTAAGGAAACAGGATCACAGGTGGAATCACTTGTGAATGCCTTATGTGTCAAAAGCGACACAAAAAGAACATAGACAGGTAGGTAGGGGCTTTGCTGGAAAACAAATCGTCCCGTGCAACCAGCATCCCCGAAGGGGGAGCTTTAGGTTATAATTGTGACTAAGTTATGCACGCCATAAAAAAGTCGCTTAGCACTGCTTGCCACAAAGAGCCCTGAGAAGGACTCCTGCAGTGTTGAGGCATTCAAAGACGATCAAGAAATATTGATAGGCAGAATTTTGATTATATAGGGTTTTTAAAAAAAAGCTACCATAAACAGGAAAAATAAACACATCGCCAACGAATAACTTTAAACTGTGCTTAAATGTATTCTGGTATAAATAATAATGGTTTTAGTTTTAAAACAATGTTAATTTTTCCTGCGTGGAAATGTATGGATCCCTGTACCACGTAATGATGATGATGATGACGACGACGAAGGTGAAGATGATTTACTCACCGACAGTTAGGGTTGACGTTGATCGTCGTCATCTGTACACTGCCAGACTCTGGCAGGTTCGCGGGGAGATCCAAATGTTGGCTGCCCGGGGAAGACAAGGAAGATGGTGAGCCAGGGATCTTCAGCTGTAACCGCATCCTGTTGGCCATCGTGTAGGGGAAGATCGGCACATTCTGGACACAAGAGGCAGGTTATGTAAAGCTAATGTGACCATAATAGCTTGAGCTGAAAACGGGACATGTCACTAATATTTTGAGCTCAAAACGGGACAAAGTACTAATATTTTGAGCTAAAAACGGGAAATGAACTAATATTCTGAGCTGAAAACGGGACATCGTACAAATATTTGAGTTGAAAACAGGACACTACAAGCAAGTCATTTTAGCATCTCTTCCCTCACCGGTGTTTGTATCTTCTTGATTCAAGTTTTCCAAGTTCTCTAAAGGTTCTCTGATGTTTCGGAGCTCTACAGGGATCACCGCTGGAACTACAGAACTCGTACAATGTGCAATGTTATCTAAAGAACGTCTCCGCATCTTGCGCTTTAAACGAACTTGAATTATTTCACCGAGTAATATCAATTCTTCTCTGTTTCTAGCCCTTAAAATGCGTTTGGTATGTGGTTTTGTGGTTAACAAAAAGGCTGCGATATTTGCAACTTTTTGGCCTTAGACATACAATTTCAGCAAACTTTTGCGACATAGTTGTTAGAGGGGGGGGGGGGTTTAAGTCCACCAACCCACATTTATTTAGAACTCAAACGACCTTAGGAAAAGATATGATCACTTGCGCCATCTTACAGAGCACTTGATAATGCTTAATATAAATCAATGATAAGGAAAGTAATTGTTTACGATCAACATCACAATCATCTAAACATTTAAGATACTCACTCTTGGAATAGCTGCTGTTTGATCGGATGAGTACTGATGAATGTGAGAGGATGACTGACTTGAAGAAGCGTGCACGCCGAAGACTGGTGCAGTGTGTGCTTCGCTGGGGGACATCAGGCTGGGAAGTGGAGTCAGATGGTTTGACGCGGAATGGTAGGAATGAGTCAGGGAACCCGCTGAGTGTGGGACCTGGGTCATGAATGGTTTCAAGTCCATGACTGATCACGGAGAACCTATTGTTCTTGCAAGCTGTGTTGGCTGTCTGTATCTCATCTCTTCATCTTATGGTTAAAGAGTCCTAGCACGTCTGCAAGTGAAGGCTTCCTGAAATATTCCAAGTTTATGTTTTGGAACTGTCACATAAAAAGATGAGTAGTTATGTATAAATTAGGGATATTGCAGCACTTGGGACACCAATATAAGAGTTCCGTCTCACTCACAAGATCGTAAAGTACAGTGGTACCTCTGTATACGTATGCTTCCTTTTAAGTCCAACATGGTATACGTCCTGTTTAGACGCGAACGATTTGTCTTCCTTTATGAACTTTGTTTGGAATACGACTTGCGTGCTACAATTTATGAGCATCAGCCAGGTCAAAGAGGGGAAAAGATGTTTAAAAAAAACAAAAGAGGATAAAATACAGAAGAATTTTAGATTTCTTACGATTTAGTGCAAGAGGACTCTCCTTCCAAACAATAATATCTCCTCTCTTCTCAGCACAATTCTAGTAGACAATCGCCTCTTTTCAGTACCATCCTAGTGGACAATCGACTGTTCTCAGTACAATCCTAGTGGACAATCGACTTTTCTCAGTACAATCCTAGTAGACAATCGCCTCATCTGAATACCATCCTAGTGGACAATCGACTTTTCTCAGTACTATCCTAGTGGATAATAGACTTTTCTCAGTACAATCCTAGTGGACAATCGACTTTTCTCAATAGAATCCTAGTGGACAATCGACTCTTCTCAGCAACATCCTAGTAGACAATCGACTCTTATTAATACCATACTAGTAGATATTTGAAGAAGAAGAAGAAGAAGAAGAAGAAGAAGAAGAAGAAGAAGAAGAAGAAGAAGAAGAAGAAGAAGAAGAAGAAGAAGAAGAAGGAGAAGAAGAAGAAGAAGAAGAAGAAGAAAAAGAAGAAGAAGAAGAAAAAGAAGAAGAAGAAGAAAGAAGAAGAAGAAGACGAAGAAGAAAAAGAAGAAAAAACGTCTCTCAATGGGTGAGACCGGCAGAACGTTATGATTTGGTTTATCTTCAAGGCACTCCGGACACGCCCATAGGTGCTCAGATTCCCCCTTCATCATATACATCAGCGTCCCAGGGTTGATAGTCCCAGTAATGTAGCGGTTGACAAGACTTCTTGCGTGTCCGGTGTGCTTCTCGTGCCTGGTTGTCCCGATCTTTACTTCCACTTGTTGCAGTCTTAGCAAAGATGTGGATGTGTTGCTCTCAACATCCTCAGAATCCCCCCCCCCCTTTTCCCCCCACCTCTCTAATGGCATTAACAATATCTGCATGATCCATGGGCCGGCATATATGAATAATGCAGAGCCGGCTAATCTGTCGGTTCTTTCATTGCCAACAACACCCGCATGCCCTGGGAGAAAGATAAAGGTAACTCCTGGCATAGTGGAGTTTTGCAATAAATCTATCCACTGTCTGCGTACAAAGCCCGCCTCGACCCGCCGGATCATACTCATGGAATCACTCAGCACACACGTGAGACGGTCTGTAAAGTACCTGCTAAATCTTCTTCTTCTTCTTCGCGTTCACCAGCTGTAAACTCCGGCGTAAAGTTCTGGTTGCTCGTCCACTTCTGGACTGCAGTCCTGTTCCAGAACCTGAGTGCTAATTGAAAATGATCCTGAGGAGCTCAATTTCTAAATAAGATAGAATAACAACAACAGTGAAATTAAACAATTGTCACCATTATTAAGACATCCAAGCATAACTATGAGTGCAAAGAGACAGATTATTAATAGCATATTCATTACAACATTGAGCTACCAGTGCCAAACATGGACACTATCTAAATCCCATAAACGCAAAATCACCACCTGCGAGATGAGGTGCCTGAGAAAAGCAGCCAAACTAACCATCCAAGAACGAGTGAATAATGAAACTATCAGGCAAATTGTGGGAACGACACCTCGTACTAGATTCATAGAGAAACAGCAAATCAAGTGGTTAGTCCATCTCGTTAGAATGCAGCAAGATCAAATACCATCACAAGCACTACATATCAGAAGATCAGCTACAAGAGCAAGAGGACGGCCGCGGAGAACATGGATCGACAACATTAAAGACACTACGCCTTCACGGCATGACAATAGCCAGTGGCAGCCAACGTGCACTGGATCGCAAATTAGTCCTCCCCACGACGCTTAACGGCAGAACTGGTTTATGATGATGATGATGATGATGATGATGAGTGAAAGTAAAACGAACAATTCGGATTTAATGAGTTAATGTAACAACTACACGCGATAACAGAAAGGTCAGAAATCTGTTGAAACAAATTTGTCTTAGCTTATCCAGGTTATATATCTGTTGCTTAAAGATGTTTATGTTTATGAGTGTTTGGGCTAAGTAATGAACCTGTGCTGATTTGTACGATACTGAATGTGTCCAACAAAACTTCGGATCTCACACAAATGCATTAGATTTCTGCAGACAGGAATTATGTTTATTATGTTTTTTCGACTGATCAACATCATGGCACACGGGTAGTAACCATAAGTGCCCCGTTCTTCTTCTAACTCAAGCCTGAGTCTGAAGAATCTCAGAGCAGTGACGATTCTGAAACACCTGAGTAGATTTTCAACACTAAATTTTGTCGGAACAGCTCCACCAGGCTACTCTTTTCCATTTCCAACCGCCAAAGGATTTATTTACATGCGCAATAAATAATACACACAAGCGTCCGATCTTACTACCCAGAGTTCAGGGGAAATCACTAGAAGTCCGTGTGAACCCGGAACCTCCAGCCGTCGAGCGGATGCCATACCTTGAGATCACTCAGCGCCCCCCCCCCCCCCCACACCCCCACCCCACACTCATACTCAGGATTTGTGATGCATTATGAGTTATATTTATGTCCTAGGGTTAGAATGAAGCCGCTGTGGTGTAGACCTTTGACTCTTGCCTGGGGATCCGAAAGTCGCGTGTTCAGATCCTGATGCAGCTTTACTTTTTTTTTCAAATCTCGCTCCCAGGTCGATCCAGCCTTAAACTGTTAATAAATAAATTACAGGGAAGTAAAGGCGGCCGGTTATACGTTGACCACATAAATCACCGAGTGAAGACTAGTCTCTACAATATAGGTCTTGCACTATGTACCCAATATGCCTGAATGCTATTTTACTGAAAGAGTTGTTGTAACTAGTTTTACTGAAAGAGTTGTTATAACTAGTTTTACTGAAAGAGTTGTTATAACTAGTTTTACTGAAAGAGTTGTTATAACTAGTTTTACTGAAAGAGTTGTTATAACAAGTTTTACTGAAAGAGTTGTTATAACTAGTTTTACTGAAAGAGTTGTTATAACTAGTTTTACTGAAAGAGTTGTTATAACTAGTTTTACTGAAAGAGTTGTTATAACTAGCAGAAAACAAAATCACTGTATGACAGAAGACCATCACGTACCTGGCTGTTCGTGGAACAAATCTAGAATTGGACACATGGAAACATCTTCAACGGCAAGACCAGACAAAGGCGCTATATCCCTCCTGCCACATAGATATGCCTAAGAGATCAAGTTACTGTCACGCATGGCCAGTTTTATTTCATAACTGGCAGCTAACGGTACCCAGGGATAGATGTTCACTAAGGGAAAGGTAATACTTTTTACTTTGCTGGCTCCAGTGTTCAGTTACCCCGATTTTATTAATGTAATAATGTATTGCGTATTTGTAAAGTCGTTTCGTTTCAAAGAAGAGCTAAAGTTTCGCTCGGTTTCGTAACTTTAAACCGTTTTGCTTCATTACTGACAGAGGCATATCAAAACGTTTAGTCGAATTATGTAATTGAAGGCAGGGTCGTAAGAGCAATCAAAGTGTCGGTGCATAGGCTTAACAAGTGTCTGGTGGCTGGAAGATGATGACGCGCCAATGTCCAGCCAGGACTTTCTTTCACAAAGGTCATAGGTACTGGAACCTGGGTATCTAGGTACAACTCCCCCCCCTTTTTTTTTTGGGGGGGGGGGGTCTCCTCCCCTCCCCCGCCATAATGTTTTTGAGAATTGAGCTCATGTTCTACATATGAAGATTTGAAGCGCTTCGCTTCACAGGACACGCATCTGCTAAACATCACTTGGCCATGATTTGGAGTAGACGTGGGTTCTGTTGCCCAGCTACTGCACTGAGTGTTTGGTGCAACACTGTGAGCTGTGGATTTCATGCAGAATATTATTCCCCTATTGTTCCTATTGCGGGTTGTCGACTGCAACAAAATTGCAGGAGGCGGATTACCTTTAGAATGGGTGCACTTCTGTGAATGCAATGCCGCTTTCGTGACTGACCGTTTGCGCCAACATTGACCTGCAGATCTGGTGAGCAACGCTAGAGTTAGCATATCTGACAGCTGGCTTATGCATTCTTTTTACTTTGCGTGTGCAAACTTCAATATTTCACAGTGACTGACAAGCTTTTTACTAGTTTTCAGATAAGACAGAGAAGAACATTTTGTCTAATTTCCACTGGCGCAAGAACGCAGCAGGTATTGGGTGACTCGTTTACAGTAAAGCTGAAGCCTCCGCTAACTACTTAACTTATTCTGAAATTGATTGGTGAGGGCCTTAAGGCTTCGCTGTTGGACTACTCCACATATTAAGTCAGCTGCTCCAGCCCCGTTACGACCATTTGTCTGTGGTAGACAATGTGGCGCATGACTGGAGTCTTTCACAGTTTCCGTCGAACCGGCAATCTGCCACCTGACACTGGCAAGTGATGTACAATTGAAAAAACAAAACAAGTAAGAACTTACTTTTTTTTTTTGGTAGAAAAGAAAAGACCCACTGCCCTAACAAGTATGTCGTAAAGAACGATTAATTATGAGTGTTTTCTTCGAAGAATGGGCGTGTCTGCTCAATATGCGAGGTATAAAACAGTCTGCAAACGAATGAGCCAGATCTGTAAAACAGATATGCACGCAAAACTCAAGTTCTGGAACAAGACCAAGTCCAAAAGTGGACGAACAACCAGAACGTTCTGC